TCCCCTCCCCCCCCCCCTCTTTCCCCCCCCCCTGACCTCTTCTCTCCCCAACCCGCCCCCCACCCCCGTCTTCCCTCCCCATCCTCTCTCACCCCCCTGTGTCCCAAACTATGGCACAATAGCGTTCAGCTCCTCTGTCTATTCTGTGTCCAGCAGGAGCCCGCAGTGATTCATTGCTCCAATTAGGGGCTCTGCAGCCCGTGGCTCGGGCTGTCTGAAGGGTCTCCTTTGGGACCCACGAAACCCATCAGCCGCTGCCGCTGATCTTTAAGGAAAGGTCAAGCCGGACGCATTAGAGCCAGGTGAGGACCGATGGGTACCAAGGGAGACTTGGGAAGAGCACCCCCACCCCCTCCCCCAGAACCTGGGGAGGACCTGGCCGTTCAGTAGCCCAGGGTTGGGGTCACCTTTCTGAGTTCAATGCCCTAGTTTTTAGAGACAGAAGGAAAAGGAGTTGTCTTCTGCATCACCCTGGAGACAGAGTCCTCACAGCCTGCCCCCACCCTGACTGGCCAGGGCCCACCGGGTCACCGTAGGGACCTAGGGTGTAGGAATAGGAAGGAGTAGGAAGGATACTGTGTGTTTTAGGACTAAGAACTCAATCTCTCTGTGCCCTTTTCCTTCTTGTTAAAAGTGTTGCAGCAGAAATCGCAGATATCCACGGCTTAATATATTGTATGCAGATACATTGTAGCTGTTTAACAGAGACAGACCTGCCTGCCAAGTTCACTACCGCTACATGCTTCTTAGCTACTACCCCCAAGAAGCAAGTGTGGGATGTCCCTCACTTTATGACTCAAAAGACGAGGCCAGGAAGGATTCAGACCAGGCAGCAGGGTTCTGCGTGGTGTATGCAGCCTCCTCAGGCAGACATCTGGCCCCTGTCACCCAGAAGCTGCTGGAGGCTGTCCTTGGCGCCTCCCAAGCACACAAGAGCACATATGTATCACCCCCCTCTCTGTCTCTCTGTGTGTCTCTGTGTGTCTCTGTCTCTCTGTCTCTGTCTCTCTGTCTCTCTCTCTGTCTCTCTCTCTCTCTCTCTCTCTCTCTCTCTCTCTCTTCTCTCTCTCTCTCTGATGGTATCCTTTGGTTAAGGCTGAGCTACCAAGCAATCCCAAACCTTTCTGGGTCTCAGTCTCCCATCTGTAACAGGACCCCCTGAAGCATCAGAACTGTGAGCCTCTACTTTCCAGCAGCTTCCAGCTGTCTACCCTGCCAGCAGGAGGCAGTGCCCTGGCCCTAAGGACAGGAGCCCCCACTTGGTGAGCTGACATATAAATAAAGCCGCCCCCCACACACACACACTCATGTAAATGGGCAGGAGAAAAGCCTCTTGGGAATCTCTGACATTCCAGGACTCCAGGATCAACTGGATGGGGTGTTAACATGGCAGATCTTGGGGACTCTTCCTTCCCTGGCACAGAAAAGTGCTGGCTCAGCAAACTCTTGCAGAATTTGTTGTTGTTGTTGTTGTTGTTGGGATTGTCCTCTGGCTGCTGGCATTGTTCATACCTTGTTAGAGGAGAGGCCAATGAATGGGAGCTCCCTCATGAAGGAACACTGTCTGTTCCTTCCAAGGAAGGGCTGGGGGTCTCACCCCATAGGAAGGAGCCTGGGGAAGCTGTTTTTGTCCAAGCGCAGGAGGCTCCCTGGAGGTGAAGGCCCCTCAGCCTGGCCCAGCTGCCCATCTTCAGAGCCCTTCAGGTTCACCTGCAGGGGCTCAGCTGGAGTTGCCCTTTGTTCCTTCTCATCTGTTCGTCGTTCATTTTATTTCCTTTGCCAGCTTCTGATTCCTACTTCCTTTCATCTCCCAACAGCTAGTTTCTCCCAGGTCTATCCTGCACACTGAATAGCCAGGGCTGGCTCCAGACCTGGATCCAAAGACCCAGACCCCATTCTGCCAGCTGTGTATACCTCAGAAAGAGGCAGACCTCTTAACTCTACAAACCTCAGTCTCCTGCTATATGCAATGGGCACATGCTCCCTTCACGGTGGGTCAAATGAGAGCAAGAGAGATGCCTGGCACGGAAGGCTGACACGATGGGAGGCTGTATGTGTGTGCATGTTAGCATGGGTGTATTAATACACATACGTGCTGTGTATGTAGACATATGTGTGCATTTGTGTATGTGAACAAGTACAGACTTACATGTGTGCTATACATTTGTGTGTGTTAACGCATAGTTATATACACATGTATATGTGTGTGCACAAGTCCAGGACTACACGTGTGTGCTTTGCATGCATGTATTTATGTGTGCTAATACTTGGTGTTATGCAGACATGCATTTGTGTTTACACGCATGCATGCATGCATGTACTAGGCAGGTACGTGAATGTACATGCATGTGTGCACTAATGTTTGTGCTTGTGTTTCTGTAAATGAAGTGGGCAGGGGGGAGCGGAAGATTTCTTTTTCTTACAATGGGTGAATGACTCAGGAAATCCCCTGGCATAGATGAGAGGAGGAAGAAGACAGGTGACACTGCTGAGTCATCTGGGGGTGGGTGACATGTGGGTGGAGCCACAGCACAGCCAGACACATCAGCCTGACATCACAGTAGCATTTACTAGCCTTGGGGGGGGGGGGCTTCTGACCCCCTGGG